ACCTCTGAACTATGCTTTTTATTTTAAATGTTGACAATAACCATACACGATGAAGTAACGCCCAGGCAAGGCCTCAGTCAGTGTTCCTTCATCACTAAAATTATTTATATCACGAAAGAACACTGAAACTATCTACTAAAATGGGAACTAGTAAAGGGGGACATTTATTTACGAAATATTTGTATAAAATTATTTTCAATATTATAGAATCATGGCGAATAATGGCACATTTTACAGTTCAACTTTTGTTGCAATTTTTATACTTTCTAGATGTTTGCATTTTCATTTAAACATTTACCATTTTTCCTTTTCTTGCATTTTATTTTTACATTCTTACATGATTATATTTCAACATTTCTAACATTTAAGATTTCCACCTCTTCACATTTTCATAACCTGAATTGTCAAATCTGTTTTCTCTTACTGTTCTGATTTATAATGTAAATATTGTGAATGAAACANCCGCTCTAAAAGTGGGTGGTTTGATGCAGTATGCTTCGAAGATTGGTTTCAGTCAACATTGTTACCGAGTGTTAAAAATCTAGATGGTCCTAAAGTTATCATTGGAGATAACTTATCTTCTCACATCAGTTCACAGGTGCTTAGGCTTTGTGAAGAGAATAATATAAGGTTGGTTTGCCTCCCTCCAAATTCAACACATCTAACGCAACCATTAGACGTAGCTTTCTTAGGACCAATGAAAAGATCGTGGCGTGATATCCTCCGCAAGTGGAAAGAGTCAGATTCAGGATCCAAATTTTCAACGATCCCTAAAGATGTGTTTCCACGATTGCTGAAAGAACTAATGGCAACTCTGGAAGAAAAGCGAAGAGACAATTTGACAGCTGGATTTGCCAAATGTGGAATTCATCCCTTAAACAAGCAAAGACTGCTAGATCATCTTCCAGAAAACCAACCCATGGATAAAGAGTCTATAGGAGAAGCTTTTATGGAACAGTTGGAGAAGAAAAGAGCTAACTAAAGATGGCCTGAGAAGAAGGAAGAAGAAATTGCAAGTGCCTGCTGGCAAGAGTATTGCATTTGAAGAGGTTGAAGCAGACATCTCAGAAGCAGCCAACAAACCTTCTACCAGTGCGTCAAAGAAAACACAAAAAGTTTCCAAGAAAGAAAACAAAGAAAAAATCAAAACTTTTCTTCAGATGAAGATGATGTTGAGATGGTATTTGAGTCTGATGGGCAAAGCGAAACATTTTCCGATCTGGAAGAAATATCACAGGAAGTAGCAGGCATACTGAAGAAACACCAGTTGAGTTGAAGCCCGAAGACTTTGCTATTGATAACTTTGTAGTTGTTACATATAAATGACAGAAATACCCTGGCAAAATTGTTAGCTTATCTGAAGATGGACCTACAGTTGAATGCATGGAAAAACGACTCAAGTTTTGGCGCTGGCCAGAAAAACAAGATTGCCTGACTTATGACTGGGTGGATGTTTGTCAGAAGATCAATCATCCAAAAATAGTTTCAAAGAGGAACCAGTTTCATGTGCCAGAACTGAACAACTAGAATGTATGATGTAAACTGATTTTTTTATGCAATGAATTTTTTTTTCACTACAATGAAGTCCGTTTCATTTATTTTCACTTCTCATCATTTCATGGATGTTTTTGAAGTAAGAGCAGGTAAAACAACAAACTAATATGTCTGGTGGTAATTTTATCTTGTCTAACTTTAGCCCAACCCAATACTAAACATAGGTTTATCGTCAATAAGAGAGTGTGTGTTCGGCGAGTTTTGGCCTACACCTGCCGATATAAAGGAGATGTCTCCCAGTGACCTGTCCACCTTCATGGAAAGGACAGGATGGACGATGACCTAGGAGAACAACTCCTCGGGAAGATGTACAATGGGTCACATGTGGCCTAAGTTACATTCTCCCTTCCTACTCTACAGATACAGAGAGATGGTTTAAAAGTATGGGACAAAGTTTCCCCAATTCAAGGCAACTTTCGCCCAAACATTTAAAACATTTTATATAATATTGCAAACTGATTCAGAGGTCTTAATATGGTTTCAATTTATTGATATAAAGTTTGCTTACACAGTTAGATACATAGAAAATAAATATAAGCAATGTCAAAAGAAATGGAGCTGATAAAACCATAACGAAACTTTACATTTGGGCCAATCTTACCCCATCTGACGGTAGTGAACAATGTCGAAATATTTTACTAGCCACATTAAAACAAAATAAATCGAAGGAGTGGTTCAATCAGAGAGCTAGACGTATTACTGCTTAAAATTTCAGCAGGGCCTGCAAAACTTCTATTTCAAAACCTTCATTATACCTAACCAAAACTATTAGTTATCCTTCGGAATGTCAATTCAAATCGAAGGCAACAGAATTTTTCTGATTGATTCGGCCGTTACTTGATGAAGATCCATAGCTTTAATCATTTGAAAAAGCTAATGTTTTAGCGAAACATGTTATGATTATTTTCAATAAAGTTAGTGGAGATCAAATCGTTTAAGTGTAGTTTGTGAGATAAAACTACTGTGATTGAATATGGTATACCCAGGTCCAACCTTCAAAGATACATAAAGCAGGGTGGCACCGTGCAAGATATTTCTTCCAAATTTGTATCATCCCAAATATTCACGAAAGATAAAGAAGAAAAAATTGCAGAATATCTTTGTAATATCGTTTAAACTAAACCATGGACTGTCAAAACTGAAGGCACGCGAATTGGTTTACGAATACGCCACTGCCATTGAAAAAAATACCAGATAACTGGACAGAGAAGAAACTTGCATCCAAAGATTGGATAAGGGGATTTTTTGAAAGACAACCTCAGCTTTCGATAAGGACAACAAAAGCTACCAGTCTCTCACGGGCCACAAGTTTCAATAAGAAAAATGGAGTTTTTTTTGAAAATCTTAAAACGTATATGAACGGCATCGCTTTGGCCCTGAGTCTATTTACAATATAGACGAAACTGGATTATCAACAGTATAACGAACCCAGAAAGTGATTGCTCTCAGCGGCATTGAGCAAGTTGGGCAAGTAACATCAGCTAAAAGAGGGACGCTTGTAACGTTTGCTGCGGTATTAATGCATTAGGTAACTCAATACCACCCTTTTTCATATTCCCACGGGTGAATTTCAAAACATATATGCTAAATAATGCCCCTGTTGGTTCAGATGGAGCAGCACATCCTTCAGGGTGGATGACAGCACCATTTTTTTTAAAATATATGCATCATTTCGCAAAACACGCAAAACCAACGCCTTGCTCGCCAGTTTTTTTGCTGCTGGATAATTACGAGAGCCATATTTCAGTACCAGTTCTCGATTTCTGTAAAGAATCAGGTATTGTTTTATTGACTTTCCCACCGCACTGCAGCCATAAACTGCAACCCCTAGACCTGACTGTCTATGGACCACTCACAACTTATTATAACACTGCTGTAACTGATTGGATGGTGAGCAGTCTTGGCAAAACGGTAACAATTCATGAAATCCCAAAATTAGCAGCAAAAGCCATCCCACTTGCATTTAAGTTGCAGAATATTCAAAGGGGATTTGAAAAACCTGACATATAGGCATTTAATTCAAACATTTTCTCCGATGAGGATTTCGCTTGTTCTTCTATCACTGATCGCTGCTTGCCAGAAGAGGATAATGCTCCTACAGAACAATCGATTTCAGACCAACCTGTCATGGAACAGACTTCAACAGAAGAAAATAATAAGAGTCTAGAGAATCGTACAAGTTCAAATGTGGAAGTCACTGGGCCATCTCAATGGGAATCTCCATCTAGAAGCCCAGGCTAGGGGGACTGTAAATGTAACACCTGATTTAGTAAGACCATATCCGAAGGCCGGCCCCAGAATATTGCATGGCATGAAACGGAAGAAGGGAAAAACTAGAATATTGACAGACACACCCGAAAAAAAACTTATAGAAATGGAAGAAGAAGAAAGACAAAGAAAAAATAAGGTCAAAGAGCTCAACAAAAATCGAAAAAGCTCTAACAATACAAGACAGAAAACATTTCCAAAGCTTACTGATGAATTTACTTCCAAATCAAAGAAAAACAGAAAGATTCGCAGTGATGATGAAGTAGAAAATGTTTCCGTTTCTGACGAAGCCCTCGTTGAATCGAAAGAAGATTTTGATGAAGACGATGTGATCGTTCTGAATGGAAATTTCCAGATCAATAACTTTGTGTTGGTTAAATTTGAAACCAAAAAAACTATCTATCATTATATTGGAATAATCGAAGAAGTTAGTCAATCCGTGGCAACTATCAAATTTATGAGAGCGAGTAAGATAAGAAATACGTTTATATTCCACGACATCGAGGACGTAGCCAGCGTTCCTCTGGAGGATATAAAGACAAAATTACCTACACCAACGACATGGATGAAACGTGACAGCTTATAATATAAATTTGACAAGCCTCTCTGGGTCACACCAAATATGAGATAAGTTTAATTATTAAGTCCAACATCGTGCAGTATTGATTCTAAGTCACATTGTTTAATTTTTCTAAAGTCTATGATAGGAAAAAATGTTTGTATCACAATTTCTTATAGCAATGTTATATAATACATAAGCCTAGTAGTATTTCTCTTTCTGGTGCAAGTGAAACTGTTCGCTTCGTCAAAGCCACGTGGCGCTTTTATATTTTGTGTTTCGTTAGTCATAGTGTTTTGGTGTTGATGAATTTCATCATTGATAAACGTCCTGTGTTGATTAATAAATACACCTATCACAGTCCCGACATTGGTGACCCCGACGAGATAATTTTTTTTTGTGGGTGACGGTGATATAAGTGAATTTTGCGCGCGTCGTTTCCAAACATTGACCATACCAGCTATACAAGTGAGTACCCTTTGAATTTCACGCGTCGTTTTGTACATAGACAATACAGTTTTCGAACCGTCTGAACAAGTACCCCTAGTAATTAATCGTTACAGTGCCAAATGGTAATCTCGAACCCGCGAATGCGATCTCTGCGCGTCTCAGAATACCTATGTTTACCTCCGACGACGCGGAGGTATGGTTCCAGCAAGTCGAATGGACACTTGAAGATGCCGGCGTCAAAACCAGCATCGAAAGGTTGTGTCAGGTCACGAGATCGCTCGACACCCGGGAGGCCAGAGAAGTTCGCGACCTAATTCTCAACCCACCAGTCGACAGGCCTTACAAACAACTTAAGGACGAGTTGCTGCGACGCCTAAGGAAGTCACAAGCTCAAAAAACGCGTCAACTTCTGGAGCGCGAGGACATTGGCGACAGATCGCCATCTCAGTTCATGCGCCACCTGCAGACGCTCGCAGGTTCCTCAACAGCCGACGAGATTATCCGGGCCATGTGGATGGACCGTATCAACCCGATCGTTCGCGTCAGCATCGCCGTACAAGCAGCACAGCCAGGAATCAGCCTCGACGACCTGGCGAAAACCACCGATAGCGTCATGGATGCACTGGGGGCTGTTGCGCCCCAACAAAGACAAGTTTCCGCGGTGTCAGGTGCTACCTAATCACGAAAGTGTGAAAGTTGTTCGCCGTTATCAGCGCAAAATGACGAACAGAAACGCGAGATCGACACACTTTGGGCTGAAGTGAGACAACCGCGAAACTGCCGACAACCGCGCGACCGCTCAAACTCAGGGAAAAGTTCGCGCTCGCAATCAGCTAACCGGTTTGGCGGTTAGTTCTACTACCACCACAGATTCGGAGAAAATGCGCACAAGTGTCAGCAACCATGTTCATTCGTCGCGAGCGCTACGGACACAAGAAACGCTAATGGCGAGAAGTGACAGCTGCCCCACCGCGAACACTTCGTTCTCAGCTCTTGACGAGGACGGATGTGTGTGAGGGAATTGACAGATTTAAATTGCAGTTGAAAGTGTTTTTCTACCGTTCAGTGAACATGAATGTGAATAGTGAAAAAGGACACATAAGCAAGGTATTTGAAATTGATTTCTCATAAACACAGTGGAATAGACACATAAAAAACGAAGTTCTCGCATTTGTTTGGAATACATGCATTTAAGGAAGTAAAAAGCGGCTTTGTTTTTCATCGATAAATAAATCTTATCAGTGTTAGAACAAAAAACGAGATAATGTTTTTGGACCAACGAAATATTTGTATACCAAATTGGCGAAGGTACACCTTCGCCAATTTATTGAATGTCAGGACTTGTAGTAATATAATATAAGTGGAATTTGAGAAATCCTGAAAATTAGTTGGATGAAAACCACTACAGTAGTACAGGATGGATTATAAGAAAAGGAAAGGTTTTGGAGACAAAGATCCAGATCTTGATATACAGTGTGACCCATTTAAAATGGAACCACCCCTGTAGAATGTGCATTTTTCAATCAATCTCAATTTTTTTTCATTGAAATATTAAGCATGAAAAACTGTATCTTGACACTAACTTTCACAATTTTAGTTTCATTTCCAAGGCACTCTATGGTTTTTTTTGTTTGTCAAAAACGGCAAAAGTTTATTAGGCAATTTTTGTTTTCAAATTTGACTACACCACTGGATTCGTAGTCGTTATAAATCAAAACTGTCAAATTTTCATTAAAAAATATTTGTTAACAACGAAGTTACAACAACTTCAATTTTGGAAACAAAGTATTTGTTTGTAATTTTTATTCAGATTATAGACATATTTGAGATCTGACAACACTGT